AAGGCCAGCGAGGATAGGAATTTGTTGGTTTTTGTGTTTTATTTGTATTTTTTATTTTACCATTAAGAATGCCTTAATGTAAGGAGGTGTGGGCATACAAAATTTCACTTAAATGAGAAAAGTTTGTGATTGCCGATTTGGTCAAAAACGAACCTTTTGCGTATGGTTTATACAACGAATGACATCTACTCTGGTTTTAATTTAGATTTAGTCCTTTGAAAGGTGAGCTAAAGTGAAATTTGATATGCGTAGTTAAAGTTATAGTTTCAAGCCGCCTCAAAATGTGCTAAAAATATTCTCGGATGTATGTACATACCCTGCTGAAGAGCAACCGAAAGAATTCTGAAAAATCAGTCTAGCTAGTGCTCAAAACCTAGATTTCCCTAACATATTGCTTTTGGAATGGAAAGTGGTTCGATCTAATTGATTATCTTCCAAGTCTATATAAATATTTTGTACATATAATACGAGCTTGTAACCGCTGAAGCGATTTTCGGCTTAGTTCCTTCAATTTGTGGTGTGCGGTGACAACTTTTCATTTACATGTCGCTCTCATAAGATATGTTGCTATGGCTGGGAGGTATGTAAGCCGCTCCCAAACAGCCCACGGATTTTTATAAGGAGCTTTTATTTCATGACAGAAATACACTGCGAGAAATGTTGGTGGAAACAGGACATATACTCTGGACTTCTGAATGTTAGTGCGCATTTTGTGTTTGAGGAACGCATGGAAGTCACTTTTTTTGTTACAGCACTGAGCGCGGACGGAAGATTGAACATAAATAAGCCACCGAGGAATTCACAGCACTACAAATAAATACATTTTTGCGCAATTAAAAGCCGAATGGAACTGGTAGAGAAGGTATTCAATGAAATACGAGATTATAAAGACTTGTTGAAGCTGTTTTGGCTAGGCAGTTGATGCCTACCATAGTTTTAGAGCTATATTTAAGGCTAAAACGTGGCAGAGGTTGTGTCATAACGGCTCCTCGTCTTCTAAATTTCATTGCCTGTGACAAAAATCATCAAGAGTCCTCTTTCCGTATGCCCTCATCAGACCGTGCTCTGTTAATATGCCTCTTGCAATGCTATTGTGAATACAAGTATTTTTCTTGTGCATCAAGGATCAGAGCTGCCTGACCACATGGAATGTGGCGACCGCGCGTCAACAGCTATTGTTAAAGGCCGATCTAAGCAGACACTGCTGAAACAGGACCATATGTATATCCTCATCGTATGAAGAGTATAATGGAGTATTTGGAAAGGAACCCCATCAAGCTAGTTCGCTAGCCGTGCCGTTACCTGCAATGTTTAAGTCTTCTTTCAGCTAAAAAGATCCAAACTCCACCAGAAGCTCTTTATAATCGTTGTTGTTATTGTCTAGAACCGATAAGCTTGCCTAATAAAAACAGTAAAACCACCACAACATTAAAAGCTCCAAAGGGAGAAGGTCTTGACTCCTCTTGGCGTGCTATTGCGGGCCATTTGGCTGGGGCAGTTGATACTCTAAGTAGACACACCCCAGCCTCAGTTGCACTTCAATATGTTGTGCACAAGCCAAATAATACTACAAGTATTTAGCTCTATTCCACGCCGCAGCAGCACTCTGTATGTATGTATAACAGAGGCACGAGCTAACTGCCTACCGATGATTGCTTGTCTGTGTGTGAGAGCAGATTCCGCTAGGCGAGGCTCGACGCAATTTTCATTTGAAGAAAAAAAATCAGTGATCGGGGTGTAATTGTTGTTGTTTGTTCCGTGGCTACTACTTGTGCACTCTTCTCATGATATCATCTGTACATTACATATGTACGTGTATGTATGTATGCGCTGGTATATTTTATACTACTCTGTGTTTTAAAAATAACCCCAATGAGTTCGTATATTACATTGGCTCAGCTCGAGTACTTCGCACACTTGTGCGTACTCGTGTATGTGAAATGCGTACATATGTGTGTATGTATGAATATATGATTGCGCGCTGAGTGCACCTTTGGATCGCATTACTTACCACTGATCGTGTCTTCAGTGCCAATATTGATACATACAGACATACATATGTATGTGAATGTGATTTGACCGCGTGTGGTTTTTGTTGAATTTCCTTTCAAAACTTTGCAATGCACAGCGCTTCCCCACCACCTAACCTCAAAACTCGGTGTTTGCTGATCGTCACTTCAAAAAAAAAGGGATAAAAAGAGAAAATGTAGAAAAACTTAGGGTTGGCTCTATGTGGCGCAGGCTAACACACACACACACACACACACACCAGATACACCAAAACATGCATATATTCGCGTTTAGTGTACTGTGGGTCTGCAGCCTGTGGAGGAGGCTCAGCACGTCGCTTGCCACATCGTCTCCGACTTCCAATTCTACGCGTTGCGTTGGTTCGTTCTTCGCCTGCGTCAAGTGTTGTGATGAGTTAAGTTTTATTTATGGCTTTCTAGTGTGTGTTGTGTCTTACACTCTTATTATAAACCTATATTTATTTATTTTGATTGTTCTTTTTGTAAATTTTGTTTATAAAACTACCGTTGTATTGAGCGGATGCATTGTGGAGGTAATTGAACTGTTCTTAAAATAACAACTAGACAAGAGTAGAGTTCAATGCTCATTGGCGTGCAGAGGGAGTCTTCAACTACTCACATATATACATACATATATATGTATATTGTATGTACCTGTTTTCATGTATCTTCCAAACATATTTTGGCGCAGATTTTGCAGCTTTGACATGTTTTTTTTTTTTGATTTTAAGAAATATGGGCATGCAACTGAAGTGACTTAGAAGAGGCTATCGTATATTATGTACATACACACATACATTTTGTATGTTTGAGTTGACATTTCTTCAAAGGAAGTTTTCATCTCTCCAAAATGTGATAGTAAATATAGCTTATGAAATCAAGCTGGTGAAGTCATACCCTAATAAATACAATATGAATAAAAAAACTTAAGAGTTTGAAAAAGTTATGGTTGCCACCTATTTGAATATTTAAATTTTGTTTTTCAGTAATAAAGGATTTTTATAAAATGTGAAGTAAATTATAAAGGTTTTAGGAAAATTGAGCGTATTTGTTTTTTAAAATGGTTGCCACCTACTTGAATTGTATCATTAATTTTGTTTATTTTCCTTATTAAAAAAAACGCAATTTTGCAATCAACTGAAGTTTGAATGACAAGTGTTATTATAAGAGAAATTATTTTTAAAGTGGTAGCCACCTACTTATATTTTATCATTAATTTTATTTTATTTTTGCTAAAATTAATGAAATACTATACGGTTCAGAAATAATATGTATGTATATGAATTTTTTTACTCTTTTCGCTTAAGTAAATGAAATAATTTTAAGAAAATTTAAAAGTTTATATTTATTTATAGTCATTTTATATGTACATATGTATACCGTTCATCATAAAAAATTTATCAAATGTATAAAAAAATAATATTTTTTTTTATTATTAAAAACATAACCTCAAGCAATATCCTGGCAATCTTCATGTCTGCCTTGCTTAGTTTCGTAAACAGAAAAGTTTCTTTTATTTAAATACATACATACATACATACATATGTATCTATTTCAATTTGATATTTCTTTTTTTTTTTTGTTACGTGCATTTTTTAAGTAAGCATTTTTGATTATTTTTTCCTCAAATTTTCAAATGCCTGTATTTTGTTGCTATTTTTAGTCCGAGATTAGCAATCGCATACGCTCTTGGAACGTTTATATTTGCGCACTCTCACATTTGGATTGCTTTCTCTCTTGATGCTCGGCGGCTCTTTAGACTTTTTTCACGCTTTCAAAGTTAGGCGTATTACATATGTACATATAGTATTCCTTGGTTAGTTAGACCGTCTTTCTGCCTGTCTGTCTGTCTGTCCGCTCGATTATTTGTGCCGTTGACTCATATCCAATGTGGTGTTTGGTTTTGTTGGTGGGGGCCATTTGGTCTTGAAACGAAATGAATTTTGTAGGTATGTACATATGTATGTATTAATTCTTTGCTTTACTTTTAATGACACAGATTACAAATGTGTACATGCTGTGTATTTGCTAAATATACAAACACACAGCATGTATGTACATATGTACATATATTCCATTCCAAAATAAGTTGATAGTTGCGAAAGTTTGTTTACTTTTATCGAAACTACATAGAAATCTTTTGTTTAAACACGATAAGATTACATCACGATATAAGCATTGAAAATATAATAAATAATTTAAACTCTTAATTCAATTTAACACACAAAATATCACTTTTGTACAATGCAACCAACGCAGCTCTAAGTGGAAGTACACTGCTGACTTCCTGCACTGAGCCGATCACAGATCCCGTAGATATGAATTTTGGTTACAATAACAGCAGCTTTTGGCTAAAATGAGCAATAAAGTTGATGACGATCAGTTTAATAATCGTAACTTCGCGATTTGTATCGCTTCTGTTAATATTTTTCATATTTTATCTCCATGAAAATAAAAACTTCTTCGTATCAAAAGTTCCATTCACAAGGGTCAACAATGTGAGCAGTTAAATTTGAGAGTTGATGAAGTTAAATATAAATTAAAAATTTTAAATATGTTATGAGATGTTTTGAAAAATACTAAATTAAATAATCATTATTATTTTACGATATTTGTAAAACTTAAAGGAAAACATTTGGTATACGTAATAGTACATTATAAATAAATATGAGCGCATATGGAGGCTCAATAGAAGCTCTTAAATGCTTTTTAGGAAAATGTATAATTAAATAATAATTAATATTTTTTTTTTTCATTTTATTTAGTTTTTTCTTTAGTTAATTGAAAATGGCCACAGGCATTGATACCTTACGCTTTATAAATACACACGCAAACGCGCATAAATTTCTTTAGCTTCAGCTAAGACGCATATGCATGTATGTCTGTATGTGCATATTACAAAAGTTTTCAAAAATTCAATTTTCGAACAACGACATTTACGCAACAAAAGCATCGTTTCCAATCATCAAGCGCAGACAATTTCGAACGCTCAGCATCCAATTGAGTTCAACTTGCTATTTTAGTTTACACTCGCATCCCGACACGTCGATTACTCGACAATTTCGCGCCGTGTTTTTCATTGAGTTTCCTAAATATCAAATCACAAAACTACTCGAGAGAAAATAGCCATACAAAAACAAACAAAAGTAAACTAAGTAGTTCTTTTGGCTGAACTAAACACCGAAGCGACGAGCCATACTCGCCCTCTACGCTTTTTTCGCCGCCAGCCGCTAGCCGCCAACCGCCAACCGTCAGCCAGTTTATGGGCGCTCGCCCACATTTAAACGAATCTTTGAAAATTGTTGTTATTGTATATTCCTTTGGCTGCGATTTGTTGGTTGTTGTTGAAATTGAAAATTTTCTTAATTAAAAATAGAATTGAAACATCGTCTTTGTACGAGCACAACTCTTGGCTAGTCTGTGTTCTGTCTTTGAACGCTGTGCACGCGTCTATCTTTGATTTCTTGTCGTTGCGTTGGCACAGAGTACGCACGAGAAACGAAAGGCTTGGAAAACAGCTGAGTAAAGTTCCAGTGGAACAGCGACCATCCGTCGGGTGGATATTTGAGGGAATATTAAAGGAACAAACCAAGCTAAAAACCAGCAGCCTAAAATCAGCTAGCGAGGGTTTCATCACCGACCGAAAGACCGATCGATCGTTCGAACGATCTGCCATTGGTATTACAAGTAACAGAACTCCTTAAAAGAGCTCTACATTCAACGGGGTACAAAGTCGAGGGAGCGCGCAGAAGTGGCGTAACAGCAGCCCTGTGCCGTTAATTTTTGCTGCTACTTCGCTGTATTCGAGGTAAGATCTTACATAAATACATACTTATCGAACTCAAACACAAACAGGAGAAACAGAGCAGCTCCGGCTGCTTCTAGCGCATATGAAAATAAACAAATTTTCCACGACAAAGAGTAGCAGCGCAGATATTGAGCAAGTAGGCGTGCATATTTATAGTATACATACATACATATGTATATACGCTTTCGTCGGCAGCATTGCATTCTTACATGCACACGAGTACACACATACACGACGACTTTCGGCGGATTTTTTCAATTTTCCATTTTCCATTTTCCTTGTGGCCTGCTTATACGCTATGACGCTTTTGGCCAACCAGGCCTACCCACACACCAGCCATTCATACATACATACATACATACATACATACATAGGTACGTACGAGTGCTCGTACAACCAAAGTGATCGCTTACATTGCTTGTTTGTGTGCGCTCCGAGTAGAGTACTCACTCTCTTCTTCCGCTCTTCACATACACGCTCGATCCGTCTTTTACTTGAACTTTTTAGCCAACACTTGGCATGGCGGCGGCGTTGTGAATTCATTTCGATTTAATTTTAGTCCAAGGTTTAAAGCGTTTGTGGCTTCTGCGTGCGAACGTTCCTTCGGCCATTCGTTCGTGGCTGCCTTTGTGTGTGTGTGTGTGTGTGAGTGCGAGCTCGTGCCGCTCACTTCGGTTGGTGGATTATTGGCTGTGTGAGGCTGCAGTACAATGCTTGCTTGTACGTTTAACTTCTCCGCACTTGCTCACCCTCACGTGCGCCACTGCCTACTTAAATACATACATACAAATATTTACTCGATCGCTTTGCCGCTTGTTGTCTTTGGCTGCCGAATTTGGCTTATTGGTTGCGTATACGCGTGTTGATCAACAAAATAAGCGAGTTGAAGCTACACATTTAATTTGAAAATTTCGGTTTTACCATTGGCAGTTGACTGTACGATGCCATAAGAGAGCAAGGAAAAGAAGAGGTGGAGTTTTGTGAGGTTAGTTGTCGGCCATTTAAAGTGTGGTTATTTCGAAATCTCGAGATGTCACTAACGAGCTATCATCGGCATTTAAAGCTTTTTAGGGGAGAGGAAGATGAAGAATAAGTTAGAAATTCATGCCATTATGCAGGCCACACGTAGGGTATGTCGGCGTCAAGTCTGGATAAGTAGAAATTTAGTCGACTAAAATATTCAAATTTTAATTGTGCGAGTATTACATGGGTCTCTAGAGACAGCTCGAGCTCTTCGTCTTCAAGAGGTGTTGCTTGGGTTACGAGTACACCGTTCACTTTAAGAGAGTTCAAGGAGCTGTTGACGGACTCTCGGTGAATGGGGTTTAAAGTGGCATGTGGTCCTGTCTAGTGGTTCTCGTCTATAGTGCTGACGTAGTCTAGTACTCTTTTACTGTCAAATGTGATTCCAATTAACTTTGGGTTGTTGCTTGTCGGAATTTTTAGGACTTCGGCATTCACAACGAGCTCGAGCCGGCACTCCTTCGTCCAACTGGTGAAAATATTAGCTGCAGTTGTCGCGCACTTATCATTCCAATTATACTTTTTTGAATGTACATATCTACATTTTTATTATTTTTTATTTTATTTTAATGCTTATTTTTCATCCAGAATAAATATACCTGATATAAGCGTCAATATAGCTTTACATACAAAGAAAATTAAATTTTTTGTACATATGCATACAGACATATACAAACGTATGTATGAATGTAAATATATTCTCAATTCTAATTTTAAAAATTCTTACTTTCGAACTAAGCGCGCATTTTCCCTTTAGCCGCTCTAATTGCGTTGATCGTTAATCTGGTATACACATACATACATACATATCTATGTATATATCAAGAAATTTGAGCGCTCCTCCATCCCTTTTACTCTCTTAGACGTTTCTTGTTTATGATTTTGGCTTGGCCAAATATAAATTTCCACATTTTCATCAGTTGCAGTCATCATGAGATGGCACATACATACATACAGATTTGTAAACTCACACATACACAAGAATCAATTATTTGTAGCTTTTCCGAAGCGCTTTTTTTCGTATAAATTCACATAATTCTCTATTTAGCGTGCGAGTTAGCCTATATATATGTATGTATATTATAAATTTTGTATGTATGTATATTTTATATGCTTTGGCATAAACTGAGCGGTTTCTTTCGTATTTGCTGTATTTCCGCTTGGAAAAATTTTTGAGTCAGCAATGAATTTACATACTCGTATATTGAAAACAATTCCATATTTATATTCGTACATATTTACATGTTAGCTAAATAATATGTACGAGTATGTATGTATGTACATAATTTGGGTAAGGTTTTTAAGCGTTGGAAAATCGCTTCAGCGGTTACAAAGCGCCAATTATATATGAACATACATACATACAATTGTATTACATATATTTTTCCTTAAAAATTGAGATTCTTAAGTTGCCCTTAATAAAGTCCTTTTTTGAATAATTAGTTATTTTGCAGCTTAGCATTGATCCCAAAAAAAAAAACAATAATTTTCCAAATAAAACGCCATTGCGACGATCTAAGCTCTGTCATCTGCAAAATTTTAAGAAAGACTCCCAAGACAAAATTAAATTTATTTCGTTGACGAATTTTGGTTATAATTTGTTCTTCTGTGGTGCACCATTCACAATGATACTATTATATGGATTTCAAAGAAAAATCAAAATTTTTTCTTAGGCATTTTTTTTAAATGCTTAATACTTACGATTTACTGAAGACAAAAATTATTATTTATTATACTCTGTTCGGCAGGCATTTCGTTGATCTTTGGTTGAAACGAGTTGTGGTTTATCGTTAAAATATGTTTTGAGAAGCAGCAGAAGTGCTGCAAGCCTCAAAGTGTTTTCTCTCCTCAAGGAAAAATGAATTTATGCTTATATATAAATATATTATATATTAACGCCTCTATAGTTTATATCGTTCTTTGCTCATACATATATGATTATTCATAGTTTTTTCCACTTTTAGGGTTTTCATTACACAATCAGGCTTTAATAGGCTTCCTATTAATGGTATAACCAAACACTATCTGGACTAAGTACACACAGATAAATTCCTATAGACACAAACATGCATACATACGTATAGATAATAAATTATTATCAAAAAAAAAAAAATAATAATAATAAAATAAAAAGTAATAAAAAAACAAAACACTGGCTTGAGTGCTTTGTCTGAGGCTCAAAACTTGCGTCAGAAACCAACAGTGTATATATACATAATATATTGGAGCAGTTGTACGTGTGTGAAAACTCAGAAATCAGAATGTTGTTATCAGCCTCGCCTTATCAGTAGATTCACCTGTATTACTTTTCTTTATATACACATAAATACATGTACCTAACCATAGGTGTGTTACTTATATGCATATGTATGTATTGGTGTAATTGTGGCTGGCTCATCGTCGAAGCCATGTATTTAAACTTGTATCATTTCGAAATATTTTACCCACATATGTATGTATACATATATGTACATATGTAGATACTTTGCTTATAAACAGCTTTGATAACTCCAACTAAAAGTTTGTTGTATATTTGTCAAGCTCTTAGATGTATGTATGTATGTATATAACTTTATTAAACAAGCAAAGCTCATAAAATAACAAAAAAAACCTTACTCCCAAGTTCAAGATAATTTTCCGTTTTCAGAGCTACGTTCGATTTTCGATTATTATCGATAGTGTTGCTTGACGAAGAACAGCACCATTGTGAATTTTTGTCAGTCAATACGATTCACTTACAAACCGATTTAATTAAAATATAAGAAAAACGGATGGAAACTGCACGATGTACATATATTTAGCTTTTTGAATATCACAACCAAAGAACGTATATTAATTAATTAATTAATTATTTAATTATATTTATTAATTAATAGACGTTCTTTGGTTGCGATATTCAAAAAATTAAATATTTAATGAAGTTGAAGGATTTAGTGATAGTGCCTTGCTTCCGAGACGCTTACTTGGTAAACTCTAAATTTTTCTAAGCTATGACTGCCTGTCATGAAATCTGATATCGTCTCCCTGCTATTGTAAATCTTCATATGTCCAATCTACAATAACATTTTGTATAGTATGTAAGATTATCACTTCACCTGCTCTATACACTTGCTTCAACCGAAACACTACGTACATACATATAAGTATATTCTCGCACACCGAGTGTGCGCCCTTATAACGTACGCTTTTGGAACCGACTATCGAGCTTATCAGTGTACGCGCTTGAATCTTATCTTAAAACTTTGTCGTCTCACGATGAAGTGTTTATTTGTCTTCACTTCGCTGGCGACGACGAAATTCTGCATATATACAATACTTACAAAGCGTTATTAAGGTGCCGAAGTAGTAAAGTACAATACTATGTGCGTGTGTAATAAATATGGACTTTATTGTAGCTTTGATTCCGCTGACTGGGCTTTGATATGGGCCCTCAGCAGTTTGTATAACCTACTTTGATATATTTCTTAATATTTCATCTCCTCTATACCATGAACGGCAGCAACAGGTACAGAGCGCATATATGTATGTATGTATGCATATACATATGTATGTTTGGCTCCTCACACCTGCTACTCCGCAGTGTCTGCCCGCCTGATGGCGTAGTTTGAACATAGGTATACTCGCGACACGCATGGGGCGAGCTTGTATCGCGACTGTCGTCCACCAATTGCATTGCCTCGCTGCTTCTTGACATACTTAATCCTCCCTGTATAGTGTTGCAATCTAAAATACATAGTCGGCAAGCTTTGTTTACTCACATACATATATACATACACATATACAATAAATTCTATTATTTGCTTTTAGAAACTGGACTTGAAGCGTGTTGTACTTTGTTAGGTTTTGGTTTGGCCGCAGGGTTGCCAATTTAAGTTTAAAAATTTTCTCTACAGAACTTTCTTACAAACATACATAGATGCGTGCATATTGTTTTTATTTACTAAAATTTTAATTTTTATTTGGTGACTTTTTTATTGTGCATTGCGAACCATTCTAAAATATGAAGAACTTCCTTAGGCACTGTAATTCATCCTTGAAATCAAGCAAATTAAGCAAATAAAAGTTCTATACTATAATAAAAAGCTCTTGCAGGTGTAATGTACCTACTCCTTCCAGCCATCCTGTTCGGGCTTGAGTATCGCCATCTGCATTCAGAGCTACAAATTCTCCGTTCAAACAATAAATCAAGAAGTCATTGTGAATGACGCTTTTAATATGAAGCAGTCCTTATTTCCTTTCATTTGTCAAATGTGCCGCGTCATTGCATTCAGTTGGCAATTGCTTTGAAATAATAAAAATTTTGTATTTTTTGCGCGCTTAAAGTTGGCAGCAATGGCAAGCATACATACTTACACATATACATCCATTTGCATGTGCATCACTGGCATTTGCGCATCAGCGTCTCAATACTAATTAAAGCTTTGTTTCGCCTGAAATTTTTAAGATCATCACATTGTCCATGAATCTCAGACAAAAGTATGGTTTGTAATGTTGAGTTATGTGTGTAAAACGACTTGTTGTTACGTCACCCCAACACCGAAACCACCCTATCGATAATTCCAAAAAAAAAAAAGATGGAGAAAAGTAAAAATGTCTAAGCTTGTTTACACTCTGTTAATTTTTTCGCCGATTCGCTAATGATTAATATCGGTTTAACTTGAATTTTTACTTATGAATAGACCTAATAAATAGTGAATGCGAATACGAGTGTGAATGTATGCCAGTTTTGAATTCGAAAGATTAGATATCTATGGTAAATACAAACATTCGATTGTGTTTGTGTGTGTGTGTGTGGATGAGAGAGGAGGGGGGTCTCTATCAGGTGCTTGCTTTAAATCGCTGGGTTGTACGTTAAGGCTTGGGCTTGGAGATACTCATATGTTCACATGTTTGCATATACATACATATGTACCTACATCATACATACACCTTTAGAACTTTATCAAATTCATATCGAAGGTCTGTGTAAATAGTGACAGGTATTTATTATTTATTTGTTTGATGAAAGGGTTTCTTTATGCTAAAACGTGGTTTAAATAAAGCAAACAGTAAAGGAATTTTTGAATAATTTTTTTTTTACTTATTTAAAAAATATTAATTGAAAAAGCAAAATTGTTTTTTTTTTTTTTTTTTTTTTTTTTTTTTTTTTTTTTTTTTTTTTTTTTTTTTTTTTTTTTTTTGTGGAAAACTGAAGAGAGCTTTTGGAATTCAAACACTAGATCCTCATTAGTTCGAAAATATTAACCTTATTATAGAAGTTGTTGAAACGCTTTGGAACACCTCCTAGGTTTCTGTCCAGACTAGAAGAAGTCTCAAAGCTAGTTTGCGAAGCAGCCAGTCAGCTTTTAAAAGCATTTTCAAAGCCTCATTATTCGAAAAGTATGGGAGGTTGGGCGGGCAGTATGTTGCAATATAAGCGCTTCACACCCGCCAACTAATGGTCTCAGCATATGCTGAAACTTTTGTCGTTTTCTGTTAAAAAAAAAATATTGAATGTATGCTGACAAATGACACACAGAGAAAGAGAGCTAGAGCGCGTGGATGGAGTGCGCGCACTACAAGACCCAAGCCTAGGCTGCAGTACTGCCCAAAACCGAGTGAGATTATCATAAAACGAAAATTCTTATCATTGGCGCGTCAGACCGATAACTCACGAGCCGTATATGCATGTACATATATGTTTGGGTGTGTGTTTGTGAGGCGTATATGTGCAAATGTAAGTGAAATTGCTTACCCACCATTACCATTGAGGCAAGCTCCCAGCGATTACCTGACCGATAGGCCGTCGCTTGGTTATATGCTTTGATTTTTTTCGAGGGAGCTAATTGTATGGTTGAGTGTGCGCTGTAGCCTGCCTTTAGCTTTGGAGTTTTTGTCAAACGCTTATTAATTAATGATAACAAAAACAACTACTGGCGAAAAAGCGCTCAAGAACGCATTGGCAGTTAAACAAACAAAAGCACAAAACAACGGCAGTGCGATGTGTCTATATAGAAGCGCTCGTGTGTGTGTCTGTGTGTGTGTGTGAGTGTATGTGCAAGCTTACGCACACCAAGTTGAATATTTTCACGGTTTTATCACAAACTCAGTCTACTCCCAGCGGGCGGGCTATCAGTCACACGCGCTCTGGGCCGACTCTAATCAACCAGTCCGTTTCGTCTTGTTCGCAGCTCAACACACACTCGCTTCACAAATTTAATTCGGTTCGTTTGTTAGGGGCAACGTTTTTAACTGTTATTGTATGTTAAGTAATTTTATGAGATTTTCTCTTTTTTTCATTATTTCCAATTCACTTGCTTCTTCTCTTCCTACAACCAGCAGCTTCAAGACGTCTCACAAAAAGCGCATAAAAATGGAGAAGACTCCCCGCTACACGCAACGGGAGCGTAATATGGTGCTGGGTTTTGCCGCTCAGTACAAGGACGTCATCGAGAATAAGCGTACCGATGCCGAATCGAATCGTAAGAAGGATGAAGTTTGGCGTCAAATAGCGAAGGAGTTCAATGCGCGTGTCTATCATCAACGCTCATCAAAACAATTACGTCAACTTTATAAAAATATGAAACTACTGCTGAAGAAGGATCTCTGTGGTGAGGGTAAAGGCAATCGCACATTTATGGATCTATTGAATACGTTGAGCCAACAAGAATCTGTCGCACAATACATATCAGAACAGATGTCACCGAACGGCGGCAGCGGCATTGGCAATGGTGGCTATGGTGGTGGTCGTGGGCACAAATATGATGATGACTATGATGACTCAAAGGTGAGTTTCAAGTGGCCAATTTCGATATGTGTTTGTATGTATGTACATATGTATATACATACATATATACAAAAAATATAGAGGGCGAGGTGCTTAGTGGTACTTAGTTGTTGGCGAAGCCTGTTGGGCGGGTTAATACAATAGACGGGTGGTGGCACTGCTGTGATATTGATAAGAAGATAAGTGTGGTTTACGCGCAACACAAAGATTAAACTCGTCATAAGCGATAATGGAAATGCAAAAAGCTGTTACGAAGTAGAAATTTTTTGCGTAGTTAGAAAGATCTAAAAGCATTTCAACCCGAAAACGGCGATAAAAGTCGAAGAGTTCATATATTGTACATACATACATCATGTGTATATGTACATACATACATATGTATGTATATGGTTTTCGCACAAAAGAGTTTTAAAACAATTTTCATCAAACAAAATAAAAAAAATCCTTTCGTCACTTTTGATTTATGTAAATCTTATGCTTCCATTATATACTGTTCACAATAGTGCTTTTTGCTTATTAAAGACTGTTTGTTTTTCATAGTCCTATGTCTCTCATACGCAAAAATTTAAGGTAAATGTGACTTAGAAAATAAAAAGAATCCTTTGAATTTTTTGATTATTGTCTTGTGCCTCTGTAGTATGTATACTATTCACAATAGTGTTTAGCCCGGTTAAAAGTTAGCATTATAAAATGATTTTGCTTAGAGAAAGGAAGACACTCGGGTGCTATCTCCGTTTGTGGTTAGTCCTTATGCCTTAAATCTACATTTAAAGAGAATGTTCCGAGAAGTCGACTGCTTAGGCAGCACTAAATAGGCGTCAATAGTCTATAGTTATCGGTAACAGCAACGGCAATACTGTTTACTGTTGACACCAATAAGAGGTATATACATACATAAAAAAGTCTCGGCTTACGGTTTAGGAGAAGCTTTATAATTTGCTTTGAACTTAACCGGCGCATTGGCTCACGGGGTACACTTCTTTTATGAATTTTTTTTACAAATGTTTTGAGTGAAACGTGGGTGTGAGCTGCATGCGGGTTTTGTAAGTCAAACTTACAGCAAATCAACGTAAAGGAAGTTAGGAGCAAAGTGCTTGTTGTGCAGCTCTCTTCAATAGAAATGTTCTTATGCCTCTCATTTATTCAGCGAAATATTTACATACTTTCCCGTTTTGTCTTATTTCACCCTAGAATCCCTTCCCCCAACTTGCCGCCCTTGGTTACGATGGCATGGATCCCGATGTGATTGTCATCAAGTCCGAGGACATCAGCGATAATGAACAATCACAAGCGCCCGAAGATATGGATGATGATGATTGTTTAAGCGCAAAGGATATACCGGAAGTTTGTCTGGAGGAGGAAGATGATGAAATATTCGCTACCGATTTGCGTCAGTCTACACCGCTATCATCAGCGCATGTATCACAACGTGGTTCTTACGCATCGAATGGGCTGCACGCACAACAGCCGAATGTTACACAACAACAACAGCAACAACCAGAGGTGACAATACAAAATGTTGGCGGCATACGCGTCGGCAGTATTGGCAGTTTGGCCAATCTCAAGGCGTTACAGAACGGTGGCAGTAATAACTCGGCGTTGAGTATACCAAACAGTAGCAGCGGCGCCGCTAATGGCAACAATAGCAACAGCAACAACAATGGACTGACCAACAGTAATGGTCTGAGCGCACATAATAGCGGTGGTGGTAGGCATACGCCCAACTCACGCCAACAACAAGTGAGCGCCGAACAGCAAGCTGCACAACAACTACTATTAAACGGACTGGGGTTAAGCGCGGTGCATCCACAAGAGCCGCCATTGCCACAGCTGCATCGCGGCACACACGCCGGCAACAACGGAAGCAGCAACAACAGTCTCATTAACAGCACAAATCAGCTGCTGCTCAGTCTGAACGCCAACGCCGGTTACGCGGGCATGCACAAGAGTAGTCATGGACACAGTCACAGTCATCATCATCTACACAACGGACACGCTCACAGTGGTGGTGGTGGTGGTGGTCACGGTGGCAGTGGTGTCGGCGCACTTGGCGGCCTACATAATCACAGTAATAGCAGTAATGGCAGCAGCAGCGGCATTGGCGGCGCACATAACATCAATAGTCGCAGTAATGACTACCTCATGTCGCTGGCGATTAAGGAACGCGAAAAGAAGATTGATCTATTGAATGCGCAAATCGACTACTGGAAGACGCTGACTAAGAAGCTGGATGCGAATGCTGCGCACAACCCATCGCCGGCTTGTATGTGCCACTTTCCCGGCAAAGTGAATGGTTTGCAAACGCCGACTAGTAGCAGCTAGTCCGATACGGATGACGGAGAGGAGGAGGAGGAGGAGGAGTTGAAAAAGGGGCTAGAGGAAGTTCAAGAAGCGGTTGGTACGTGCGGCATGATTGAAAGCGATGCGGCCGCGTTCGAGAAAAGTGCACAAGCGGCCGTGACGGCAGGTGAGAATGTTGGGCCGCGAAAAGTTGCTGCGAGAACGCGCACTGACAGGGAAATAGCTGATGACAATTCGTTGGCGTCATCTGCAAGTAGGGCCACACAAGATGAGGTTGACTTTAAATTGGATGCTGAGAATTTCGAAATTTTAGAATTGGATGCCTATGCGGAGGAGATGGAATTCGATGAAAGTGATGTGGCCTGCCTGTTGGTGAAAATGTATAAATAGATGTTTGAAGAGATGTGTGCGCAGCGACGGCGTGTTGCATGTGTAACGGTTACTAGCAGCAGCTACGTTATTTTTTGTCTTTAACTATAGGTATATAGATCTGTAAGTTTTTGTTTGTGTTCAAACAGTTTTTATGTATGTACTGCGTTTATCTCTTACCCTAGTATTATTAAGTATTATTTTAGTTATATTTATGTTTTGCATTTCTTTTTAATTTATTTATTTTTTTTTATTAAACTATTTTTTCACAAATTACTTTTAGTTGCTAACACAAATGTATAAAAATTAGCAAATGTACAAAAATGGTTCCTAATCTAGTCCTTGTGTCATAAAAAAAAAATTGGAAATGCTAAAAAGTATTGTTGTTGTAAATGCAATATTTGTCTTATACCAAAAAAAAGAGAAGCAAATAAAATCAATTAAATGAAATTACACGTAAGCCAAAATGAAATTTGAGTAAACACCGTGCTAATGAATACAAAAATTTCACAGATAGCTATACTAAGATATTTTCAACATATTTTGTATGTATGTAATATTATAAGTATGTAAATTTAAATGTTGTTTTTAAAAACTGTTCGATATTGAAGTCTGTAACTAGCCTTAATATATATATATATATATATATATATATGTATATGCATATATACATATATATTTAGCATAATAACAAACTGTAAACTCTTCATTTGCGGCCATTGAAACTGTCATACATAGCATGTCCATATGTACATATACATATACATAGGCACATAAATTAAGAAAAGCATAGAAATAAATGAAATTGTGTACTTAATATGAATAAATAAATATTTTTAAATTTACAATGAAGCATATGGGAAAATATAAAAAATGATGTAAAACTATTTTAAAACTACATATGCAAGTATGTAAGTATTTAAATTTATTTTAATTTAGCCGGACAAATTACGCTCAATGAAGTTGCATATTTTATTTTGCTTAGCTTTGCCACTGCGGTTCTTTTTTTTATTATATCGTTATAATTGTTTATTTTGTAAATTTAGTAAAATTAAAAGTGAAGAACAAGAATAAAATTTTATAAAAAAAAGTAACGGTATTTTGTTTACAATTTTTCATAAAATATTTAAACTTTTCTGTTATTTTGCAAATTTGTAATGTACATATTACCATTTATTGTGAAAATATGCAAAGAAATATGAAAACATATCTGGTTTGATCTTATTGAATTTTTTATGTTCACTTAAAATTGTAAACAGTTTGAAAAAAAAAAGTTTTAAAAAGTTTTAAATTTTAGTATTAATTAATTCTGTACGTATATATGTTCAGCAAGTTTCTAAAATTTGCATATAATATCTAATAATTTTACATAATTTCATTTGATTTCTTACAATAATAATTAAAATGAATATATGATATAAAATGAATATTCAATCTTTTTATTAATGGTTTAATTTTTAAAGAAAACTGCCAGAAAAGCCGTCTATTTAGTGCGTTTACAAAATTTTAAAGCCAAATTACGACAGTTTGAGTTGCATCGTTATTACCAATTGTCAAATGGTTTTTGCTTCAGCTAAATTGTCTAAAATCAACTATTAATTTATTTATAAATGACATTCTGATAAAACAACAAGAACTTGGTTTAAAAATATAGTTTTACTCAGTAAAAAACAACAAAATTAATCTTTTTAAATTGCGAAAAAACATAAAGTAATTTATTTAGCAATCAATACAACCTTGCGTACTTATCGCTTTCATACCTCGTCATTGCACTGCTGTTCGTAGAGAAAGAAGAAGCAGCAGCAAATAGATTGCAGATTAGAATTGCTGAAAGAAAATTTTTACTTATCCAGAATTTTTCTTCGCTATGTTAACGAAAATTTAACAATAAATTATAAATTTTGCAATAATGTGTAATTACCATTGAGTGGAGTTGAAAATGTGTTAAAAAATCATAACAAATAGCTGCTGAAGTTTGTGTATGTGTAAAAAGTAAGCGGTGCTGTTTTTTTGTATTGATTGTATTGTTGATTGGATTCCGGAAAATATTGCTATTATAGAGAACAGGAGGCGCGGCTGCTACTTCAGTAGTGCTCCAATAACAGCGGCAATAGTGGTGATTGGAACGCATAAAGGAACGCAATGCAGGAATGATGTGAGTGTCAGTGTACCCATAATTAAATATCCACATTTATTTGTATGCATGTACGTTTGTCGGTTGTGTTTTGGGTGTTTGCATGATAATGATGATGATGATGGTGAAAAATTTTTATAGCGCCCACTTACGGGTGGGTGGGGTGAATTTATGCGTATTTACATACATACATACTGCATATGTATTCATGGGTGGTGATGCAGTGAAAATTGAAAGTGCTCAATTATGTACGAAAAACAGCGTGCAGCCGACGGCAAGACGACGCAGCTTCTCAAAAACCGGGCAGCACAGTAATGTTAAGACGCGGCTCTGCATGCACACTTACATATGTAATCATGTAGATTCACACATTGATTGCTCATAGACTATTCGGCATTCGACGCCGGAACGTTAGCTGGTGGTGTATTCGTCATATTTTGATGTCGGCGTTTCCTGTAAGGCATTTATTGTTAGCGCCGTCGCAGTCGTCGTTGTCGTCGTCATCATCGTCATCGTCGTCGTCGTCGTCGCTTTTTGTTGCCTTTGTCAATGTATGTTTTTAAATGTTGTTACCGTCGCCACATCGCTGTTTTCCGCAGCTGCCTTCTTAATTGTAGTCTAGTGGTGGTCGTTCGCAGTAGTAGACGTTTCCGTGGACGCGATAACTTGAGCGAAGATATTTAGAAAAAGAAAAGAGTATCTATTAGCAGACATACGAGTGTGGAGAAATAAGTAAAAGTTTTCACAAAAAAAGTGTGTAGCGATTGTGCGAAAACGTATATTATTTAAAACAATAGCTAAACTATTTGTATGCGCTAATGAGTTAAATTTTCACAATAAAAACAATTTCACTTTGTTTTCACAAGTAAATGTTAGTGCCGTGGTAAGTCTCAAAGGCAGTGATGATTGGAAATAAAATTTCTAATTGTACCAAAGTACAAGAGGTCTGCCACACGCTGAGTCATTATTAGGGTAAAAACAGTGAGTTGTTCTTGTGATCAGTGCCTACAATATCCCTACGATGTCGTGGCCCTCCATACATACTGTCTGCTATGCATCGCCGTCTGCCACCGCCCACAAACCTAATTGAGTTTATGTTTTGCCCGTTTGTTACGCCGTCTAGACGTACTACAACCTCAGACATGACGTTCCTCTATGGAAATGTAGTTATCAAATTTATAAACATACTTATTTACATATATAAATACTTACAATTGTGTATGAGTGCATGTGCATTCACACATTCACACGTTCCTCTATGGAAATGTAGTTATCAAATTTATAAACATACTTATTTACATATATAAATACTTACAATTGTGTATGAGTGCATGTGCATTCACACATTCTACTATAAAATGTCAATTTAACGAGCCTCCATGCATCCATTTCATCCCTACACCTGAGTCATACCACTTCTGTCTGCCTGTCTGTTTGTTTGTATTTCGAATGTTAGCTTACTGCAGTCTTCAGAGTACAACTTTACGCTGGCGAAGGCATACAGAAGCTTTGTGCGCATAAAACGTCTATGCACTGTGATTTAGTGGTAAACAAAGGAAGTAGCGAAATGGTGGAAAACGAAAAGAAGAAATAAAAAGTATTTCTGTTTTCTTTGTTGTATTTCGGAGAAATTACTAAAAAAGTATTATTTGTACGCACTTTTTTTATATACAATAATTGCTTATGTAAATATTTTAATAAAACTATTATTTAATTATTTTTTTATGAAATATTCAATATTCTTTTTTATACATTTATATGTTTTACTTTTTTTTTAATATTCATTTCTACTGCTTTATTATATTTTACACACTACAACGATGCAGTATAGTTTTATGCATACATATACATACATACATACACACACTTCGACGTTCCAGCAAAGCGACGTTCACTAACACTGCCTGATGCCTCACCTTCTTTCCGCTTTTTCACTTCCTTTTTCCTGTGCTGCTGTCAACCGTTGTCTGCTGCCGCTGCTGCTGTGGTTACTTTTCTGTTGCATTCTTTAAAGCCGTTTGAAAATAAGATTCTTGTGACTTTTTTTTTAAATATGCCTTAATTTTTATATTAAAATAGTGTATGTGTACGAGTGCTTTTGTATGGTGTAATTGCATACATTTCATTTGTTTATATTTTGCATAGTTTTCTCTACACATTTGCAAATTTATGCTTCACATTTTATTTACAGTTCGTTACCTATCCGTTGTGATCGTTCACCATAACTGACTCATTTGCTTAGTTCATTAACGGTTTGTGAAAGGTCGGCTAACAGGTCGCTACATACACGCATACCTGCATTCTATTTGGCTAATAACAAAGCGTCATCGATAAATAACGTCACTATAATCGTAATCTATTATTAAAAACACTAACAACGTGTTAAACCCACATTTGAAGTGTATAACTGCAAAACGTCATTATAATTGCTTAACCTTGTGCGTGAATGTGTGTGTGTAAATAAATTTTCATATTTAACAGCGCATACGTCATCAATTGTTCATACTACTCATTGCTTAGCGGAAACGGCGGCATAGCAAGCGCCAGAAAAAAGCAAAAGGAATATAGAAATTGCGAAAAATTAAGAAAAAATTAAAAAATGAAATTAAATAAAATTAAAAAGTAAATAGAATAATTAAAAAAAAAAAACTGATAAACAACTCGACTCACGCCTGTGTGTGGTGGAAATTTTATCATAGATTTCTTTATACATACATATACAATATTATTGTAAACAAACAAATTTATTACCACATATTTACAAATATTTAAACAAATATTTATTCAAATCGCTTTGGCCTGAAAACTATGGCAGATCTAATACGTCTAGGGAATGTGGATGCTGTTATACAGAAAGATAAACTTGGCTCACCGACTGGCGGTTGTTTGGATGACGGTAACTTAGCGGCATTCGGTTTAAGTGCACTAATGGCTACCGGCGGTATTGATATGGGCGATTTAGCTCAGGAATTAGATCAGGATGAGTTTGATGGACCAAATATGTTGAATGGTAAGTGGCAAAAAAAAAAAAAATAAAATAATAAAAAATAAGAAAAAAAGTGAAACAAATTTCTGTTAATTTAATAATAAACAATTTTATACGCTCTGTATTTAAATAGGCGAACGTCCAGCGATAATTGCGCCACCAGAGAGTGAGTGGTACCACGGACGTTTGGATCGTTATTCGGCTGAATCGCGGCTGCGTGGTAGCGGGAAATTGGGCAGCTATTTAGGTGAGTCAATAGTGAAAATTCAGCAGTCAGGTCTTTATACCGGAATGACACGGACTTTTATTCGGCCAAGGACTGTTACTCGCGCATTATTCCCGGAACCCATTTGGGAAATATTTTTGCAGTTACTACAACTAACAGAACTTTTTTAAAAACAAAATATCTGAAAGCTATGGGTAACACACAACCTTCAAAATTTCCTGGAAAATATTTACATTTTACCCCACTCAATTACAAAGATATTTTTTAAAACATGTATATTTTTTCGCTCTTTAATTTTCAGTACGCGAAAGTGATCGCAAGCCCGGTTCGTATGTCTTAAGCTATTTGGGTCGTACTGGCATTAATCATTTTCGGTGAGTAATAAAGCATTATTTTGGCACTTTTTGCAAGAAATATACATACATACATATGAATATTTAATCGAACAATTCTCTTTCTTTCTCTCTCCTCTCGCCAGCATTACTGCTGTTTGCGGTGACTTCTATATTGGCGGTCGACAATTCGTTTCGCTGAGTGATCTCGTCGGCTATTATACATCATGTAGTGATTTGTTGAAACGTGAACGGCTAGCCTTACCGGTGCCACCACCAGAGCCGGTTAATGACAAGAAACGTGTTGTGGCACATTTACCCTATACCAAAATGGCTGACACCGATGAGTTGAGCTTTCAGAAGGGTGACATATTTTTTGTACATAATGATATGGGCGACGGTTGGTTGTGGGTGACCGCACATCGTACCGGCGAACAGGGTATGATATTTCGTGAACTAGTCGAGGATTTGGATCCGGTAATTGATCCGAATACGGTCTTTCCATGGTTCCATCCGAATTGTACGAAGAATGAAGCTGTAGATATGTTGGTGAAGGGTGAGTGGCAGAAATTTATTTTTATTACATTTCGTAAAATACAAATTATTTAACCTTTCAGCTGGTCCGGGCAGCTTTCTGGTGCGTCCCAGTGATAATTCGCCTGGCGATTATTCGCTGTTCTTCCACATCAACAATCAAATTCAACGTTTTCGTATTGAGAAGAAAGGCGTACGTTATCTGATGGGCGGACGCACTTTCGAATGTTTGGATGCTGTGATCAATCGTTATCGCAAAGAGCAAATTGTTGAAGGGCACTCACTAAGTCATCCAGTAAGTGCATTGACATTAAAATTTATTTTTATATGCAAATAATAAGTCATATACATAAATTTGTTTCTTTGCAAGGTGGTTAACGGTTCACAGCCCGAATTCAATCAACAGTTCGTGGTCGAAAAGGCTGCGGAGAAAATTTATGCCACATTACGTGAATGTCGCGATCAAATTGGTTTGAAGAAAATCAAAGGTATCAAACATCACGGCCATTTATTCAAGAAATCCGACAAGACCGCCAAATGGAAGCAACTGTACTTTGCGCTTATCAGCGAGGGCAGCGAAACGCATCTCTGCTTCTATGACAATCCGAAAAAGACTAAACCGAAAGGTCTTATCGATTTGTCGTGTGCGTATCTCTACCAGTGCCATGAATCGCTATGGGAGCGGCCATATTGTTTTCAAATAGTCGAACGGGCACTACCATGCTTGGCCAATAATACCTACCTGTGCGCAACGCAGGAGACATATGTGGAGTGGATAAATGCGCTCAAAGCGCAATGCAGTTCACAGTTTAGTCGCGCGCAAATCAAAGTGCCGTGTCTGCGCGAGATGCGTTGCTTGACGTTGCATGTACTCGAGGCACATAAGCTGCCATTCAAGCTGGTGCCACATCCCTATTGTAGCATCTCGCTGAATCAGGTGAAAGTGGGCAAGACACGCGTGAAGATTGCGCCGGATCCGGTGTGGGAGGAGGAGTTCGTTTTGGAGTGAGTACAATGATGCCTAAACAAAAATAATGAGGAAAACTAACTTAGACCAAAATCAAAGGATTTAATTCTTCAAATTTATAAAATCTCTATGCTCTGCACTCATGTGATTCTCTCTTTTATTACAGTGACGTCCCGCCAGATGTCGTTTCGCTCACAATAACGCTTATATCGCGCGGCAAGCGTGGCAAGGACTCAGAAGTGGCCGAACTTACCATTGAGTTGAGTAGTCTGAAGAACGGTCAAGAGACAGAGGGTTGGCATCAGCTCACCGGCATGACGCCGATGGGCGAGTGGGGTTCCTTGCGTTTGCGCATGCGTTACTTGGACGATTTGATTATGCCATGCGGCGAATATAGTCCTTTACAAGAGCTACTACTCGAGCCGGAGTTGTGTGTGGTGAAGGCATTAGCCGAACTCTGTCACAATGATCGCGTGCCGCTCGCCACAGCGCTACTGCGTGTATTTCGTCATGAAAAACGCGAAACGGAGCTGATACGTGTGCTCTGCCAGGCGGAGATTGCACGCGAAAACGAGACTACCACACTATTCCGTGGCGCCTCGCTAGCCACCACACTAATGGATTTGCATATGCGCACGGAATGTTCGGGCTTCTTAAATGCCGCCGTCTCAGAGACGGTGCAACGCATACTCGATAGCAAGCAATCGGCCGAACTCAATCCCACCAAAATGGATGTGAACGATGATGCCTGCTCGAATGCGGAATTTCTGCTGCAAATACTCGACTTAGTAACCCACTCAATATTCACTTCGCCCGAGGCGTGCCCACGCAGTGTACGCTACATTTGTAATTGTCTACAGAAGGCCGTGGTGGCCAAATGGCCAACAGAACGTTTGGTGCGCACGCGTGTAGTTTCGGGTTTCATATTTTTACGTCTGTTATGTCCGTCGTTGCTTAACCCGCGTCAATTCGGTTTGGTTAGCGAGACACCGCCGACTATGGCGACACGCTCATTGATAATGGTGGCCAAATGCTTGCAAAATCTCGCTAATCTTATTGAGTTTGGCGGCAAGGTGTGTATCGGTGTATGTGTGCTGGGGAAATTTATGTTAATTTCTGCTCACAATTTTTCAGGAACAATACATGGAGGTGGTAAATCCGTTTATATTGAAGAATAAGGAACGCATGATTGTTTTTCTCGATCAATTATCACTCGTCACGGATCCAAATCCGCCGCCAGGCATGTTTAGCGAACAGAATTCCAATCATACGGTGCAGGATACAGGTGAGTAATGCGCAGGGCGAGTTTTGAGGAAATAACCATGATTTTTAATTGCAACTTTTTCATTTTTAAAAATTTCAATACGATTTTCATATTTTTATATAAAAAAATCTGTTTCTTCTACTAATTTTTGTTTTTAATTTTTATTTTTGAACTTTATTTTTATTAATTCTACATAATTTTCCAATTCATTATATATTTTCTTTTTTATACTTTGTTTTAAATAATTTATTTCTTACCTCTTTTTATTTTCATATATAATTTTTTTAGTTTATGCAATTTTTTATTTATTTTTTTTATTTCACTTTTTCTTATTTAATTTTTTTATTTATTTTTTATATATTTTTTTTTAATTATTATCTTTTTTATTTTTTTTTTATTTATTTATTTTTAATTTTTTTATTTATTTTTTTTTATTTTCTTTTTTATTTTTTTTTATTTATTTTTTTTTTATTTATTTTTTTATTTATTTTGTTTATTTATTTTTTTTTTATTTTTTTTTTATTTATTTTTTTTATTTACTTATTTTTTATTTATTTATTTTTATTTTATTTTTTTATCTTACTTTTTATTATTTAGCTTTTTTTTATTTAATTCTTTTTATTTTTATAAAATATTTCCTTATAAATTTTTCTGTTAATCTAACAATTCTTCTCTACTTTTTCGTCCTTAAAGGTCGCGAACTGGCCACACTGCATCACATTTGCGTCTCTTACTTGTCGGAATTGCAGGGTCTCTCGAATATCCTTTCCATTAAGAAACTGGTCACAGTCACCGATATGTTGACGAAGCATAAATTGAAATATCGTGAAAAAATTAGCTAAGATGATGAGTGTCTTTACGATGTCACCTGGAGTGAAACAGCCAAATAGTAGCAACACAACAACAACAACAGCTACAACAACATCAACAGTCACACTTAACGAAAAGTCGCAGCATTTGAAGGGAGTTGAGTTTAGCCAGTTAAAGAAAGAAAGAAACACCAAAACAAAATAAGAATACAACAAAAGCAAATATTTATGCAAAAAAAACAACTGTAATTGAGGAAATGAGTATTGTATGAAATGCATGGAGAAATAATAAAATTCCCTTATAAAGAAAAGGAAGTAAGCATTACAAAAAATATAAATAAAAAAGATGACCAGCAACAAAAATTGTTGCTTGAGGAAAATGAAAACGAGTAAATAAATCAGAGAAGATTTGGAAACAAACATTTTTTAGCAGTTAAAACCAAGCAGTTTGTGAAGTAGTCAAGAGTTTTTGTGGCATTTTATTATAAGCGCATTTTCTTGCGGTTTTGTAAGCTGCGCCGTGTACACATACATACACATGTGCTAAGCTGTATTAATTTTTATTTTTTGAAACTGTAATATGTGTAATAATGTGTTATTATTAATATGTATATTCTAATTGAATTATGCAACTGTAGTCAGTATATCCACATAGATTGATTGCGAATTCATTTTATTTTTTGTTTGTTTACTTTTTGTAAAATATATTTTTTTATTGCTACTGGAAAAAATCTATTGCTTTAAACTGTAATTTTGCCACAAAGAATTGGTTGTATTCCTATCCTATCCCTCCCCCACGACTACTATATGCTTTTATTTAAATTCCATAAATGTTGCGTTATACACGCACACACACACACACATATATATATATAGCCTTTGTTGGCATTTAGCTTTGCGCTCTCTAATTTTGCATTTCTATTTCCAAGAAATCGGCGAACAAAAATGTTTTCCCTTTAATTTAGTTTATAAGGCTGTAAGTGTACGTACATACGTACATATATATGTACATCATTTGAAGGTTTTACTTTTAATAAATATATGCATATATTTTAAACTGAAAGTATTTTTTTTTTTTAAATTTTTGTTTTATGATTTAATTGAATAATTTTTTTCATCTTTTACTATTATAATTTTTTTGTATTGTTATTATTATTAGTTTTTTTATGAAAGGCATTTTTTTTAGAAATCGAATTTTTAGTTTTTATTTCCTAAAATATTTTTTAATAGTTTCAAAATTAAGTTTTAAACTGTTGAAATTAAATTTTTTTTAAATTTAAATTAATAAAGTTTTTAAAAATACTTTCTTTTTTAAATTTGAAATAGAACTTTTGAACAACTTTTATATTTTTTTATTGAAAAACTGTAATTATAAATATAAATAAGAATTTTTTTTAGCAAATGAATTCTATTCATTATTAATTCTTACATACTTTTATATATTTTTACGGCTTTTAATTCTTTAAAATTTTGATATCGTTTATTTATTATTATTTATTATTTATTATTTTTTCAGTAGAAATGTTTAAATTGTGTTTTTTTATAACTTATTGAAATAGTATTTTTTTGAAAATTTTATATTTAAATGATACTGTTATATAACATAATTTTTAATTGACTTTTTAAATATTTTTTTCAGACTTCTATATTTGGTATTTTTATTAATTTATTTTTTTTTGTTATTTTTTTTAAAGAATATTTATTAGGTTTTTTGGTGTTTTCTTATATTTTTTTGTTATTTTTAATCAAATAAATCAATAAAATTTATGTTCTTTTTTACTTCAATATTTTTTTTTAATATTTTCTCTTTATTTAGCATTTTATTTTAAGGCTTCTCTATAACTACAAATACTCATGCCTATAAATGTTTTATTGTAATTATATTCTTAAATATATACATACATACATAAACACATATTAAACGTCTTCTTTTGTAATTATATATAATAATAATAAACACATACGTATATATATAAATATAAATGCATAAAACTCGAATAATCGACTATATAAAGATTGCATAAAATAGTGTTAGTAAAAAAAGAAGAAAAAAAAAAACAAAAACAAAATATATTAAACTATTTAGCTTTAAAATATTTTCAATTAAATATAAATAGTATGAAAATTAATTGAATATAATTATGAAAATAGTAATATACTGCAGTATAAATATACAAAATGGAACTAAATTAATATCCTAGTCGAACATACACACATACGAGTACATACCAATATATACATATACACAGATATACATACATGATTACTGAATATTTAACTTTGTAAAGCATTTATTAGCGCAAATGTAAGCATAAAACAAATAAAATGTAGATTATTTAAGCTCAAAAAGTTGAAAATAGAAGCATAGCAGCGAAAATATTTGAATTGCGACTGGATTTGCAAATGTATTGTGAAAGGTGAAAACAATATTTCTAAGCAGTTTTTTGAAACTCAACTTTTTTCGTATTAAATCAATACATATGTTATTTTTGTAATCCGAAGCAATTATATGCTCATTTTGCTTATATTGAATTTTTTAACTTTTATTTTTATTATTTTTTATTTTTTCTATTTAATTAATCTTTTTTATGCTATTTACTTTGTTTTATGCTGTTTAATTTCATATTTTATTGTATTTTCTTTTCTTGTTTTATTTTTTTATTTTATTGTTATAGTTTTTTTTTGTATTAAATTTTTTTTAAATATTTTAACATTTATTCTTTTTTATACATTTATTTTTAACTTTAATTTAATTTTTTTTAACTTATATTTTTTTTTTATTTTTTGGCTCATAATTTTTTTTTTTAATTTTTTGGCTTATAATTTTTTTTTAATTTTTTGGCTTATAATTCTTTTTTATATTTTAACTTATAATTTTTTTTTTAATTTTTTGGCTTGTTTTTTTTGCATTCATTCCTTTTTATTTTTATTTCATTTAATTTTTTATTTATTAATTTTGTTTCAATTTTTCGTTTTATTTAATATTTTTTATTATTATTATTTCTATTTACGTTCTTCGAAAGACAGTTCCAATAACCATGTCCAACAGAACTCAATTTTTATCTGAGTGAATTTCCTCAATTTCTTTGTTTACAAATTTAAAATTGAAATCTAATTAAGAATAGTAAATAATGAAGTAACATTTTTTGAAGTATGCAATAAATATGTATGTAGCTTAGATTTTTTGATGCCTTCGCGCATTTTACAAAAGCAAAATAAAAATATATGTAAGAAAAATAATAAATTTTGAATAGCAAAATTATAAATAAGAAATATAAATGCATTTTATAATTCAAAACCAACACCAATAAGCAGCAACGGAATTAAAATGGTTATATTTTGTTGATAAAAGGTATTATTGACGTACACATACGATTCAATAAAAAAAAAAATATTAAAATATTTGGAGTGAAAATATGTAGAGAAAAACAGCAAATATTAGGTTTTAAATAAAAAAATTTCTAAAAGATTTTTTTGTTTTAATTATCAGCCGGTAGTAATTTATTTTATTTTTTAATTCTTCTTTTTCCTTATATCTTGTTTGATCTGGTAATTTAATTTTTTATTTTTATTTTTATTATCATACGCGTATATTATTTATAAATGTTTTATTATTTCTATATATTATTTTTTTATGTTTATTATTGCTGTTGTTATTAACTTTTAATTATGAATCAAATTATTATTTTATTTTTCCTTAATTTGTTTTATCGAATTCCGTAAACTCAAAAAAGTTTATTTTCCATAAATTCTTAAATAAACAAACACCTTAACAAGCTGTTGCTGTCAATAACACCAATATATGATAGAAAAAAAAAACAAAATATTTTAATTTGAAAAATCACAAAAAATCAAACAAGCCATAAATACATACATACATAATATATATCTACGTATAAAAAATTGCTACTCCAAAAAAACAAACTTTTGTATTCATGTTTAAGCATAAACCCTACATACATACATATATAAATAGAAAAATATCATTAAATCATAAAATAAAAAATTTATAAAAAGGAATAAAAATAAAAGAAATTAAAAAAATGTATTTGTACTTGCAAAATTTATACATTCGCACGCACATACATATCTATTCGTATGTGAAAACATTTTGAAATGAGAAAAAATAGATACGTTTATAGCAGAAAAAATATAATAAAGATAAATAAAGCGAAATAACAAAATGAGAATTTATTTGAAAATTTTCACTCTGGTTTCTCTGCTTACTTTTACTTTAGATTTTTGTCCGTAAACGTGCACAAATGCGCCTTCAAGGTCGAAATGAGCTACCATTGATTTAATTAACAACGCACGCCTTAAGATATGCTACGTTTTTCTCATAAGAACTGAAGTGTAATATTTTTTGGGACTCATACGCCATGTCATATAACGACAGTTTTGTTAACACTGTAGGAGAACTGCTAAGCAATCCAGTGTGTAAATACGAGAAAATTTAGAGTATTGCAAAATTAAAGAAAAAGCATCGAAATATGGTATCGGAAATGATAAACATGTAGCGAAATGATGTACAAAATGCCGGAAAATAGAATATTTCTGAAGATTTCGTCTTTTAGGTCACTTAAATAATAAAATTACTTACCTGATAATTAAATAAATAAAATTATTTTTTGTTACGATTTTTCTTAAATATTTTTTATTTGATTTTCACTAAAATGAATAATTTATTGTTTATTTTTTGTTTTTTTTTTTTTTTGATTAAGTTAAGTTATTTTTATATGCTCCATTTCTGTCTTAGATACATACATGTGTACATGTTTACATAAAAAACTTTCAGACATGGTTAGTTGTTTTATGTTGACATACATAACTTGTTTTTAATTCAATTACAAAACGATGTATGTATGTTTTTAAATAATTTTATAACTATTCCAAGTTACGGAAAAACACAGAAAATGTGTTTTTATTTTCATATTCATTGCTTTTGGTTATACGAGTTTTATTCAACATGCATGAGGAATTTGAGCGCTTTTCTGAAAATTTTTTTATTGAATATTTGCGTCTCAAATCCGAAATTCCTCAAAACTTCTCTAGCGATTTGTTTGATGTCGTGTGCGTTTTACAAATATATTTTGGAATCCTATTTTTTTAACAAGTTTTTATGGCCCGTGAATTAAAAAAAAAATTTGAAACATAAACTCTTGTATTCAAGTTTTTTTTTTCATTATTAATATTTTTAAAATATTTTTTTGCGTTTCCCAAATTTTTATCTAAAGTCAGCTTTTGACTGAATCGATTTTTCAATACTATTTATTTTTATGTATTCAGTTTGATTTAGCTAAGTTTAATTAAAATTCATTTACTTTAGTTAAATAAATTAATTTTAATTAAATGTTATTATTTATTTATTTTATAACTGTTTCTTCTTAGCCATTTTATTTATTTTTAATGTTATTGCATTTATCTCTTATATAAAATATTTTTATCTACTATTTCATTTTATTTTATTGTGTTTTATTTGTTTTAATATAGTTTTTTTTTTTATTTTATATTTTAATTTAGGTATTTATTTTTATTGATTTTATTTAATTTAAATATTTTATTTCTTTTTTTTAATAAATTTAATATTATTTGATTTTCTTATTTATAAATTTTGATTCAATTATTTTATTAATTAAATTAAAATTTATTTCATTGCGTTTTATTTATTATAATTAAATTTTTTATTTGATTTTATTTAATTTAAATTTTTCATGTAATTTTTTAAATTAAATTATATATAAATATTTTATATTATTTTTATATTTTATATATAAATATTTTATATTGTTTTCATATTTTATATATAAATATTTGATATTTATATATAAAAATTTTGATTCAGTTTTATTTTAATTAAATTATTATTTTTTTATTTATTAATTTCCATTCAAAATTCCGTCAGGTTTATTTGTAATTTAGTTAAACTTTCTTTTTTGATTTTGTATTATTTTAATCAATTTTTTAATTTACTTAATTTTAATATTATCTCTTTGCTTGGAAGTAGCTGTATACTTTTAATTCTATTTTATCTTAGCAAGCGACCAGTATGTATGTAGTGCTACAGCTACGCTTGAAATTGTTATTCTCAATTTTGGTATTTTTTACTATTAATTATATAAAAACAAGTAAATAAGCAACACACCATTATTTTCAATTCACAAATTCTGTGTTCAAAAATTATTATTATTTTTATTATTATTTCGCTTGTGTATTTATAAACTATATTTATGTATATATAAACTCATAGGTATATATTAAAATATAAGAATATGTTTTTCTGCATATGTCGCATTGCACTAAACATAAAAATACAAACATTTAGTTATAATAACATGAACATGTTAAAGAATTAAAAACAACATTAGTGGAATAGAAAGAGATTTATATAAACAATTTCTCGATAAGATTTATAGAAGGAAAAAAATCTAAAGGCAATGAATATTCATATAGAAAGAAAGCTCTTTTGAAAGCATACGGTCAAAACACATACATATAATTTTATATTAAGATTTTACAAGCAATTTCTTTTCATAATTACAACTAATAAATTCTTAATTTTTAATATTTTTGTATATAAAAATTTATTTCAAAATTATTAACTTACACAGCGAGTTTTACACGAACTAATGTTTATGTCTAATTTTCTATGTAAAAAAAAAACTGTACATAAAAACCCACAAACTTATTTTTTTACACAAAAATAATGTTTAAAATATATACTTTAATTATTGAATTATTTTATTTTAAATCGCTTTATATTTAATTTTCTCGTTTTGCATTAGCAAATATTTATTTTCTTATTCAATTAAAAATTATAATATATATAAATATGCATTATTTGTATCACAGGGGAAATCTTTCGCTTATAATTTTTAAAACAAAAAACGTTAGAAAAAATTAACAAAATTAAGAATTTCACATTTTTTTTTGCATACTTTTTGTGGCAAAAAGTAGAGCAGTGAAATGAAAGTAAAAGATAATAAAATTTCTTTCCAGGCATGAAATTATGAAGTGTATATTTGTTAGGCGGGCAGGGAAATGGTATGCTATATTGCTAGTAATGTTTTTTTCTTTTATTTTGTTTTAGAATTTAAATTGTTTTTATTTTCTTTTTTCGCCTAAATGAACTTTAATCAGCCAAAGTTATTTGAATTTTCATTTTTCATATGCATTAATCTAAACAAAATTTCTTGCGTATGATTTTTTTTTTTTTTCTTTTTTTGTAGTTAATAATTTTGAATAACGCGCGCCGTGCAGTGGCAGCCGCAAGTCAGCTGCTTGTGACGGTCTAAAGACGTTTTCAACATTGCACCATGTCCCAGCTTGAACTTTTTTTTTTTTGGTTTTTAGTACTAAAATTTTTTATTTTCTTGAATTTTTGTGTGTTTGATTTTGTTTTTTTTTCCTTTACTTTTGCTATGGTAGCACTTTTATTTTTGTTTTTTATATTTTTTCGTACTGTTTACTGTAAGTTTAATACATTTAGATGCTTTTATCGCTTGAATAATAAATACTTTCATTTCTGATTTTTTTTTTTGTTTTTCATGACAGTGAATAATAATATTTTTTTTTTTTTTTTTTTGCAATTCATTGCGCAGCGCTGCAGCAGCTAGTTGAACTATATTTCAACTATTCTTGAGTGTCTTTAAATAAATGAGAAAAAGAATATGCATACACGTATGTGTGTAGGTATATGTAGAAAAAATCGAATCAAGCACAGGTATAATACATAAATTCATTTTAAAATGCATAAAATGTCAAAAGCACAATATCGCTTCTTCTCCACTTCCGCTTCCTGCTCTGTGCTTTCTATTAGTTTTTTTTTTTTGCCTTACATATCTTTAGCACATGATTGTGACTACAATACCAAAAATACATACAATAATGTTTGAACAATTAATAGGAACCATAAAAAAATGTTGACTTGAACACACACAGCCATATATTATACAAAGAAATTATTTGGAAAAATATTAAAAGAGTGAAAAATCAACAAAATCGACAAAATATGCACTTCAAAAGAGAAATAGAATTTTTTTTTAATCAGACATTCACAAATGTGTGCGTGCGTTATTTTTTTGCATTAAATTTATTTTAAAACTTTAAAATTTTTTCACCCTTTTTTTAAAACACTGCACTGTATATTATTATATTTGTAATTTCATTATTTCTTTATTTATTTTTTTGTTTTTTCCGAATAAAACCACATAATATTCTCCTCTTTTCTGCATTAAAAACAAATTTACTGCTGCGCTTTGCTCGCTGCGCTTCATGCGTTTCAACTGTTTCTTCTTCTTCTTTGTTTTGCTAGCAGTATTTTTCTTCCAAAAATTCATTAACTTAATTATTATTATTTTAATTATAATAGTAGTTTACGGCTTAATTTATATAATGTGTAACTATGTATGTATTTATGTATGTGATAATATTTCAACTTATTTATTTTTCTTTTACTGCTTTTTTTTTAGTAATTATTGTAAAATAAATTAAGTTTAAAAACTATAAATTCAGTCACTACCATCGCTTTTTTCATAAGCTGAGCTTCGGTCATGGATTAGCATTGAGAGTGTTTCTAAGCTTCGACGAACCTGCAAAAGGAAAGGAGGGAGCAAGACAATAATATAAAGGCTATACACAGCGTTTATATTAATTTACAATAAAAAAAAAAATAAAAATGAAATTAAATGCTTATATATGCATGTATATTTGATATATTTGATATGACACAAACATTAAAGTACTTTTGTATATGATTTTCAACCTTAATGCCCAATAAATCAGTGCCTACGTCTTCTTCTTCAATAGCTTGCAACAAACATGCTCACATGTTGGGTAAGACCGTTCACATTTATCACTTAATTTATCGTGATCATATCAACAAATTTGAAAATTTTGAAAATTTTGGAAATTTGACTATATGTAAATTTTACAAAAAATTTTGCCTAATCACACGAATTTGCAGACTTGACCACTATTTTTACGGCGGTGGGAAATACGTTACGCTAACAGCTGACTATAATCGATTACAAATGACACTGAAGTACGTACTCGTACTTTAATTTCCTGAAATTTGTTAATTCATTTTTCTTTGTTTTTATTCCACGCGCTTAGATTTATTATGAATACTAAGGCACGTTATCGATAATAATATTTTTAATGCTGATAAGCATGTGAAAGAAAAAAAAAGACGTTAGTTATTGTTAAGCGCTGACAGCTGTTGTGAGAGCGTTTACGACCAGATGGCGTAACGGAAATGCCAAAAAAAAATGTATAAACATATATATACACATATGTACAATATATGTTAATAGGCAAATAGGTGGTCCAATTAGTTATTGTTTAATATTTAATTGTTTGCAACTCATTGTCATGTGAAATAGATCTATGCGCTTGACCGAACTGAACTTAAATGCTTCTTACTTGAAAATAATTTATGTTTTTTTTTTTAGCGGAGAGTTTACTTAAGAAATGTGCAATTGCATAAAATCCGTTTTTATTTTCACTTTGTTTTTGCCTCAAACTGCAAATAGGAATTTTTCTGAAGGGTACCAAACAATAACAAGAACAGTTATAAAGCCAATGGTTAGATGAATATTTGTTTCAGTTTTAAATCCATTGTCTATCAAACCATTTTGTGCAACAATGTTAGCCTTTGTCGAGAACAAGCAACAACTATCAGTGCTCGAATGTAAATTAAAGAAATAAAACGAAAAAAAAATCGCTTGATTCTAAATATTCTTACAAGAATTGAATAAAAATTTCATTTACCTTGGCAATTTGTTCCAAATTGTGTGTAAGTATATCCTGAGCTTCTTCAGTACTTTTGGCTTGCAGCTCCTTTTGCCAACGCAAAGCTTCTGCAAATATATCATCATCCGTACCGGTGCGCTGTTGGAGAAAAGAAAAACACATTCACAAATTGCAAACACCTTCACATTTCTAAATGTTTACTCACCCAATTGAATTCGTTCGACGTGCGGTATGCGCTCGTTTTCGCTTCAATATCTAATATCCGATAGAGCAGAAAAACGGAGAATAACGCCAATACCATAGTGAGCAGCACACCCAAGTAGACCACATGTAATTCCGTTGGGAATTTCAAGCGTAGCAGCGCTTTTTGTGTTAGCGTCTTAAAGCTTTTTACAGCAGCATGTGCTGCTGATTTAGGTGCACTGGTGGCCATCACTATAGTTGGCATCGAGGAAGATGTAGACGGTGTGGGCGATGACGAAGCGGAGGTATTAGTGCCGGCCACAATCAATGCAATACCTGTAGGTGGCGCATTACCATCACTTGGTCCATCACCACTGCTGGCAGTTTTGCCGCCGCTATTAGTATTGTAGCGTGCCGTGGGCGGTGCTGATGCGCGTAAATTTGTATTGGCGAAAGCACCGGCTTGTTTGGCATCTATTGGAATATCTGTAAGGTGTAAAATTTTATTATATTTATTTTTTTATTTATTTATTTTTTTACATTAAACCATATTTGATTATACACACCGGAATATCGATGGTTTTCACTTGCTGCTGCTGTGCCGTCGGCAATGCTGACAGTGGAACCGGCGACATTGCGATGTATCAGCGTTTGGCCCAACTCATCTAAGCCTTGGGCGGTTGAGGCTATAGCTGCCACCAACGCTTGCGGTGGACTCTCATTTCCACTAATCGAACAACTACTATCATCCTCAATTGAGTATTCTTCGGAAATTTCAATATCTGCGGGTGCTTTTGGAAGATTTTCAATGGGTGCGAGTGGCGGGCAAACGCTACACATCAAACGGAAGGCTGACTCACGACTCATAAAACTACCGAAGACGTGTCGTTCGTCGGCAGTGGCGACACCCACAGCATTTGGTATGATTTTAGCCAACTTCTCTTTAGAGATCTTCGTCACGGACGATGTGGGTATAACAACCTGACATGGATGTATATAAAGGGTTTCCGATGAAAATCAAGAAGAAGTTAGCTGGTGTCTGTCTAACTCACCTTGGTCACATAACCAAACACATTTGAATAGAATGCAAAATGCTGATCTGTTATGTAAAGGTGGCCTTGTAACAATATGTCACTAACAAGTGCACAGGAAAAGTCTAAAAGTATTCAATATTTATTTAACATATTTTTTTTACCACTTGTGGTTGCTGTAATATTTCACTTACAATTAATTAACTTCTCATCTTTGGAGACCTGCGTAAAGTGTCGATGAAATTTTTTCACACGCGAACTGGATACCTCTTTGCGTTTCTTCTCCTTTTCGGCAGGCACCGCTGTTGTAGCGGCGGCAGCAGCTGTTGCTGCTGCTGTCGATTGCTCATGCTTCGCCGTGATGTGGCTGCTCCAATTGCTGTTGTTAGCACTTTTACGGGTCGCTGGACTAATGCTGCGTATGCTCGCTGAGGATTCGCTTGGTGCAAAGAGGTTTAAGGATCTGCAATGCATAGAGAAAGATAGATATAGATATAGAGAGGAAATGATAATAGTTGGCTATGATATGAGGAAATTCTTCATAGATACAATAGAATGTCTTGCAAACAGAGCGAAACCCTCATTGTGTTTTTAATAATCACAAAACGGCTAAAGATCTTTCAGATGGCTTTAATTTAATTTAATTCAAGTCTTATTTTTATTCTCCCAAAATCAAATATATGCTCAACTCACCGCTCGCGAAATATACTAATTTGAACTGATCGCACCGCAAAGTCTTCAACTGAATGCCAAAATTTTACAAATATTTTTTTATGAAATTTTATTTATACATATATGTAAGTACATACGTTTGCGCTAAATGTAAACAAAGCTCCCCTTGCGTGCATATAGTGCGCCTAAACACTTCAGATACGCTCAAATTGTCGGGATATGCGTTTTAAAATTTTAATATTAGTTTTTTTTTGCAAAATATAGACTGCAGTCATCCTGCCAATAAATTTATTTCGTTTATTTTTTTCGCATGCAAATAATTGTTAATGGTAATATTATTGATGACGATATAGTTTACGGAATAATATTTAATTACAATAATATACCTAAAAATAATGCCAACGATGACACAATTTTGGCTATGAATAAACAGATTAATGAGCAAAAACACCTTGATTGCTGATTTTATGAGGTTGCGTTTATAAGTATGCATACAAACATACATTTCTACGAATGCACCTTAAAGTACAAAATTCATGTATGTATGAATATGCATATGTTTTTTTTTTGGATTTTTTTTTTCATTAAATTTTGGCTCTATTTCAAAATTTGTAAAATTTATTTTTTCTTTTATTTTCATCTCAAAGGCAATGCCTAGGTATGTTTGGTATTAATTTATGAAAAACATCTGGTTTAAGTTTGCAATTTAGTTATTTAGTTGGTTATGTATTTCTGACGTCAAAAAATATAATTTATTTTATACACACATTCCTTTCATTTTTCATCATTGTCAATGCAACATCGCCATAGAACAGTTTGAAATCTTATATTATGCATGGCACTTAAACTGTGGCACATGGACTACATTTTTATTTCTTTTGATTCATATATGTAAATGAATTTAGTTGGTACTGTAAATGGATAACTGCAAAAGTAGGTCATAATAAAAATACTTTCATAAAATTATCTATGTCCCAGTCTAAGTAATATAAATATAAGCACGCAAATGAAAAAGAGGTAGTTAATAGAGGAAAATAGCCCTTCCCTACCGTAAGTTGCATTCCCACGCTTGACAAACCTTTCGTCGTTGAACTATTAATTAGTTTGTATTTATGTATAATCCAAATGGTACTTACTAAAGAGTATATCGAAAAATTGAAAAAAAAAAGAAATGTAGGTCCTTTTATGTTATTGGAAGAATTATCATAACAAAAACTAGTGGAAGAGCATAACTGTCGATCGCGTCATTTCACATCAGTAGTATGTTTTACAAGTATTAATATTTTTATTAATACCCATTTTTAATGATAAACCAAAAACTGTTTTAGCTTTCAAACGCTAACAAACGTTAAAAATATGCATAAATCGATTAATAACATAGTAAGATATGTGGTTTAATCTGCTCTAGTCACTGTCAATAAAACATTCAGCTCACTCATTATTACTTTGCGAAAATTATTATATAGATGACGAATAACTTGTATTTAATTACGCAATAATAACATAGTAAGATATGTAGTTTAATTTGCTGTAGTCACTGACAATAAAACATTCAACTCCCTCATTATTACCTGCCGAGGGCGAGCTAAATTTTCATTTAAATTCATTTCCTAAAATTTTAGATGTTGGTCAAACACATGGCCTTCCGCATGGTAGTACGTACTGCTAACTACTCAGCTATATTTTTTTTTCAATCAATGTAATATTTTTAATTTGCTATGAATCTGTGTGGTATTAAGCTTCACCAACAGCTGCTTGTACATTTTGACAGCTGCTCAAGACAATTTGAAATTAAGCCGCAGTTTGAATAGCACTGCTGTGAGCTAAGCTTACTTTTGAACGAGTTATTTAATAAATACGAAATAGTGAGTTATTTAATTATTTATTGTTCTATTCATTGTTTAATATATTTAGACGGAAGTTAAATAGATCGATAAACCGCAGATGTGTCCGTGGAGCAATCAAACTATGGCTAAATAGCATGTCTTTGTGTGTTCATGTTTTCATTATACAAAAAAAGGTTTCTTTTTTAATAAACTGGAAAAATTAAATATATAATTGGGTATATAGTATAAGAGTAAGTTAAATAAAACGTAGAGTAGCAGCATTAGATAAATAGAGTATAAGCAACGTAAATATTTTTCTATGCATAATCAACATCACGATAACCGTTTGATTGTGCTACTTATTAAAAATAAAAAATCTATAAAAAAATATAAAATTAAAATTTTTTATGCAAACGAATTAAAAAAAGAATTCCTGATAATTGACCATAACCGACCGATAAGCTTCATTAATTAAAATCCAAGTTGTTATTGCTAAAACCATATGATGATAATAGCGCAAAGGCTAGTTATTTATTTAGTTTTTAATTAATTATAATAAACTTTTCTTCGAAAAATAAATATATGTAGATACATTACTTTGAAAAAAATAAAATAAAAAATAAAAAACAAAAACAACTTACTCCCGCGATGTGGCGCGCTTAAACTCCACCGAATAAACATCACAATTCCGCCGTGACAGCTCAAACATTGATTTACGTTTCGAACGCTTATCGATTTCAACTTCAGGTGTCTCTAATTCACTACCGCCACCACACTCCTCCACATCTGAGAGGTAGTTATCGTAAATATATTTTTCAAATGATCTCAAATCATTTTCACTACGCGGATGAAAAACACTTTTCGCGCTATAAATCAGATTGCTTAAAGTGTCTTTGCCCATGATAGTTATTGATAGTTTCAATTTGTAGAAAAAAAAACACAATAATAAAAATGTTGGGCGCTCTTTTTGTTCTATTCACAATTTATTTTATTTTTTATACAAATCACAAACTGCCATTCATTAATCAGCTGCGCGCATTGGATATATCAGTACTGTGCAGCATTTTTGTTTAACCGTTGTTAATATATGAACATATATATATACATTATGTGGTAATCACAGTGAAAAAAAGTGAAATTATGCTCAAATAATGCAATGAATCAGCGTACGCAGCAAAGGGGAATTTTTGGATTTTCGCGCACTTAAAGCATTTTCCGCACGCGTATAAAAAAGAATAATTTGCAACTTTATTGTGCGCTCGCAATTCGAATACTAAAATAACTGCCGGTTGTGTATTTTTCAAGCACCCATTAAGCCAAATTATATTTGCTACGATACTATATACATACACATGTATGTGTGTAGGTGTATGCGTATACATATGTGTGGGCTTGTGAATTAACCATTTGTAAATTTACTTATGTGTCTGTTTGTATTTTTTGTTTGGTGATTTTTCGTATGACAAGTGGGCCTGTGCACCTGCAATAGAAACCACTGTTGTTTGTGTTTGCATGTATGTAAATATATATGTTTGCTTTGTTGTTATCAGGCATTAGTATTTATCAGCACGCGGAAAAATCAAACGTTGACGGAGGAGATTTAGTCGAGTTAAGGGAAGATGGTTGATAAAGAGAGATGTACAATGGTACTTTTTCGATTTGAAGCAGATTAAATTGAATTACTAAGTTTTTTAAATGACGTTGACTCCGCTTATGCGCTTGTCCTCGAATCAATTAAATTTGGCTTAGTTCATTCTTTCGCAGTTTGGCCACAAACGGTTGCTCTCCAACTGATCTTTCTAATTAATTTCGGTTTTTCTTAACGTTTACGGCATGGAAAGCTCTTAAAGCAGTTCCCAATTTGACAAAAACAAATAATTTATGCACTTCAATCTTTGTGAATTGTTGTTAAAATTCTCTCTTTATTTTTTCACTAATTTCAATGGCAACCGCTGCTACACACCAAAAATTGATTTTATGTATTTCTTTGTCAAAGTTTGCAATAATGAAATGCAATTGTAAACAGCTGACACAGCCGCAATAAAACAATTGAAATTCGACAGTTTGAATAGCATTTGCTGAATTTCGATGGGATTGCCATACAACTTTGTTAGTAAAAACTCTTTATTTATTGTACTATCCCCTCGCAGGCGTTTCCTGTTTTATAGTCGAAGAAATAATGATTTTTATCTTAAGTGCTTTATGTTTGTGCTTGAGATACGCGGAGTTTTTCACATGACCGGTCACAAGATGATAAGTATTAGCCTCACATGCGCCCTCATTTCCAATTAAAACAAAAAAAAAATAAACATTTAATTTCCGATAATAAGCAAGTCACATTGTTTTCAGTATGACCGCGCGCAGTCATAACTATTTTGGAATTATTGGCTATAAAATGTGGGTAATAAAAATTAAAGCCGAAAACAAGGAGCCCTAAATGGAAAACAGTTCACGTACACGTATGCTTAACTATTGTGGCTGTCAATTTTGAAATAAAATGCGAAAAATTGGAATAAAAAACTAAAAACAATTGCAAAAATTTGAAAAAAATATAAATAAAAATAAAAAGGGCGAACAATATAAATGGAATCTAATTTTAGCAATATTATTAAAAATAAGATATCTAAGTATAAATACTTTAGAATAGTGTTTAAGAACAAAAATTAAAATGAAATTACCCTCATCAATACTAATTTTCAAATCTTTTATGACACTCTCTGACACATGCACGCGCATGGAGCCAACAGCCCACGACACTATGCTTCGGTTAATCCCCTAGAGGTTTCCACACATTTTCCATATGTGATGACTAATTATCATCGTCCTTCTGTACTTGATTTCCTCCAATAAGAGCAACAACTATTATTGACAGTTTGCTGATAACTCAATTCTTATCGTTTACCTGTTGAACACCTGTGTTTTAGCTTTTTGCATAAATATAGGGTTGTCACACCTTTAGATAAGCTAGTTTATTAACTGTAGTGCATTATTTTTTTTTAATTTTCGTGCCAAATTTCACATTTTTTATCAACAATATCATGTTTACGAACTTTTATCACTCTGCCCAGGTGTCTAAATATTGGGAGCTACTTTTTTTTTATTAATGAACATGCCATGTCACCGACATTCCAAGAAATGTGAGAATACATTGCAGTAGTAAGTATATGTATAGAAAAAATTCTGATTATACAAAATTTTAACACAATTCGGCAAAAAAATATAAAAATCCCGTAATTTAAACTGAATGGGGAGTATACATATGTATACAGGCTACCAAAATATATTCCACTAACTCTGAAATCCTTATAGGTAACTGAAGCTTACATACAATGCATGTATTTTTCGGCTTCTTTGTGATATATAGCGCATCCCCTTTAATTTTGTCTTCCAAATTAAAAATAAACAATTCATGATATTATCTTAATCTTGATATAAGTCTATATCTACGCTATACATACGAACAACCCAATTTTTATTTAATTAACTGTAGTGTGGAATGCAGCAGCAAAAGATGAAACGCCTACTCAGAGGGATGTTATGGAAAGTATTTAAATTGTTCTCTTTCATACATATATACATACATATATGCTATTTTGACGTAGCATTGCTGCACAACGACAATATAAATACCAAACCTCCACCGCCCCACCGCAAGAACGTAACAACAATATAGTTTTTGTCAGTAATTTTTTTATGAAAGAAATCTCAACGCCATGTTAGTTAATCAGGCAATACATGCCCACTCAATCCCTGTCGAGATGATGATGACGGTGATGATAATAAAATTATGCGCTATTCCATAGACAAAAAGGAACCGGCAATCTCATTGAGCTATTAAACACTTGATGGCTTATCTTAAGTTAGTAATTATTTGAATTTGCGGATTATTTGTACTTGCGCCGTCATTATTTATTCGGTAGGCTGTTAATTGTTAGGGTAGAGTGATTATTTTTTCTTATTTTTTTATTCCATATTGTGTTATTGAAGTTTTCTTATAACTTAATTTTTATTTTGCTTATTGATTTTCTATTTAATAAAATGTGTATTTAATTTTTTAATTTATTTTATTATTATTTTTCATTTATTCCTCATTTTATTCGTTTTTTTTACTTATATATATCTCTTTTAAAGATTTTGTTTTTAACTTTTATTTATTTGATTTTTTCATGTGTATCAATTAAGTATGAATTTTGTTATTCTAAAAGAATTTTGATACTTTCATTTCGACACTTATGTATATTTCTATGGCTTTCATAAGATTTTTTGCAATCATCTTTCTGTAATTATATTTTTTAGAAAGCTTAGAAACCGCGAGTTTGTTACGCTATTGACCGAAATAATTTTGTTTGCACTGTTTTCTTTCAATGACTTCTTTTCAAATGCCGCCGGCAATTTATTGTTTAATTTTGTCATGCTGTTTCACAATCATCATTGCGATTTCCTTCTCCTTTTTATTTATTTATTTGTTATACGAAATTTTTCTATTGATATTCCATTTACTTCCTGTTGTGCATAAAAATTTATTTGCTTTTTCACTACGGCATAGACTTCCTGACCAATTAAGTGACAATGCATATTTTTCACTAACCAAAACCAATGCTCCTCAAACTGTTGCCGGTGCAATTAGTTGCCAAAATTTTATTTATGTTTGTCAAACTTTTTCTGCAGCATATTTTAATATTAATTGATCGTTCAACTTCCAACAAAAAAAAAAAAAAAAAAAAAAAAACACACGGCCGGGTATCTTATGCTTAGTGTTTTCCAACGAACATCCTCATTTGTTGAATACTAAAAATCTTACTCACCCTCCTTCGCCACTACTGTAACGCAAATTTTGTGTTGAACAGTCCGATGATGTCGTCGAATAGGCTGTCGTGTAATAATCACTTTGATTGGAGCTCTGCCGTTGATGTTGTTGCTGCTTTTGCTTTTGCTTCTGCTGCGCTCTGCTCTGAGAATTACTGCCGCTTGGCGAAGTTTCTTTTTCGTGCAAATTTAATGTTGTGACACTCTGCGTTTCAGCGTGACTTTGCAATGGTGCCATGGAAGTAGAATCGTTGGGTGTTGCAGCAAATGTACTGACGCTGAAAGAATATAACAAAGAGGAGTTTTTTTTAAATAAAATGAAAGTATGAATGTGCCTTTGTAAACATTTTGAAATGTTTTTATTATATGTAAAAGCTATCTATACATGTAATAAAATTTATATAAAAAAATTGTCACATTTACTTGTGTCACTCCAAATGATAACAACATTTAATTTATAATACACATTTTTATAATAGTAAGGGGAAGAAAAAATAAAATACCTATTGTACACATACTATGTAATTCCATTATTATAATTTTTATTATCGTTATAGACGTTTAGCATTATCATTTTCAATTGCTCATTGAACCTTTGAACTGATAATTGATTGTAATAAGCGCAAATTGCTGTAAGAAGTTTACATATCACACTACATTGAGTTGTGTTCGTTACGAATTGTGTCAGTAGCAATTAGCTGGTGGCGGAAATCGGTATATTAAACAGTAATTGCAGCTGCTTTGGCAAGGAAACACTTTTTAGCACCTCCCTATTGCTCTTTTATTTAAATCCTATTAAAAAGATTTATTCCACCAGGTGAACTATTTATGTACTAATTTTCACAAATCACTTATATTAATAAATCGGTATCTTTTAAATTTTGATTCATCTTTGGTTTTGTTAACTTAAAAGCGGCCATATGTTCCCAAATCTTGCTAGCGAATTCCCAATTATCGCATATCCAATAGCACAAATTCACAGCTTCCTTTCAACTATACAGATGCTCAAATCGGTATTTTTATTATAATCTAGGCATGAATGTGTACTTTTAATTTCTTAAGCTTCATTTGTTGGTTAGGTCTGCATATTCATTCGTCAAAAAAATCAGCGAAAAAAAAACAATTTATAATGAGTATTTATAAGAATGGTATTTTTTATGTTAAAAGCATAAATATGAATGCTAAGAAATTTTTGACAGGATGAAACTATTATCGGTTTATCGATTACTCAATATGTCGACTAATATTTCAGTTGCAATATGCCTTGACCGTTGTGTATTTTAATCTCTCTTCATTTCATGCATCTTAATAACCAAGTAAGTAAATTTCAAATGTTTGAATATTTTCAGTATTCGCTATTAACGTGGCGAATGTATATACATATATTTATTTTCGCTTGGACCATTATAATGGCATCTAAGTATGAACGATTGACGTCAGTGTGTGGCATCAAGCATGTGTCAAAAAGTCGTTTATATGCAGATTTAAAATTTTTTTTACCATATATACATACAAAAATATATGGCAACAGTATAATGACCATCGAACGAGCCTGCGGAAAATTCATGCAAAAAGAAAGATTTATACCATTCCTTTTTTTAGGTCTACCTAAAGAGTTGTCTGGTATTACATTCCAATTTATGAAAATGTTGCCTACTTTTAGGCTCATGCAATGTTTATATTATATGCTTGAAAAGGTATCAGATAAGAACGTTAGTTGGGTATGTTGATAAGCCTTATCTAAACTTTTAAACAATTTGTGTTTTTATATAAAAACTCACATACGTTAGCAAGTTGATATGTGAACATATTGAAATAATCACTATTGCTTTGTATATTTAAGCTATGTCAATGAGGCATATTTACAGGCGGTTTACGGGGAGATTGTTATGTACATACATATACAACATGTCCAATATAATTTATTTTAGGTAGTAAGAGATTAAAATTTTACAATTTTTTTTATTTAGTATTTTTTTTTTATTAAAATTATATTATTGAAATATTTTTTATTTTTATTCTTAAAACCAATTTGTCATAAAAGTCATCATTAATTTCCAATAAAAATTTGTTTCACTTTCTTTAACTTTCAATTGCGTTGTAATATAAAAAATATATGCACATATGTGTGTGAGTGAATAAATTTCAATCAAACTTTAGTGTTAATTAAAAGAGTATATTTGTTTCAACAGTTTTATGCAAGCAAACTAACTCTCAACTGTCTGATAAACTCTAATGTGCATACAAATGTGAGTTGATATGTATGTATGTAAATTTTTGCGTTTAGTCACAATAAAAAAAAGCTAAACAATAGAATGTATGCACACATTTGCATATAAATATGTACACACATGGTAACCTATGTACACTTGAGAATAGAATTAACGTTAAAGAAAAATAGTTGTGAGTTATTTATTTATTTTTTATTTTTGTTGTAAACATGTTTAAGCAGCGCGACGCCCCCTTCATAATAGCAAAACAATAATGAGTGACGTTTTGATGGGAGGAAAATAATTAACGGACAACAATTTTATGACACACTATTTGAAAGGCAATGTATTAGGCCTTACTGGCATAATAAGCAGGAAACTAACAATTGCTTGCTAATGTGTGAAATTTTTATATATTTCAGCAAAAATTTAATGTGAAAATTGCACTTGCAATTATATATAATTAGCAATTGAGATTCAGAAAAGAGGTGTGATAAAATTATGATTTTGTTGTCGCCAAATGTCACACAAAAATTCAAAAAGAAATTATATTAAGTCACATACGAGTGAGCGCAATTAAAATTTGTTACATAGCACTTTCATATACTTCGGGAAGGCTTTTACTCATATTATTAACACGTCTGCATGCATTTAATTACTTCCTTCGCTTTCGCTAAATAAAAAATTTTAAATATTGTGTCGTTAAAAAAAAACAAGCATAGCACAGGTACTTCGCTAATATCTGCTGACTCGCTTGGTTAATTACTTAAGTAGATTATTAAATACATACTATGCATGCATGTATATACCCGTGTGCTTTTCATATAAAATACGTACTATGTATGTATGTATATACGCGTGTGTTTTTGATATAAAATTGTGCGGCACTTGGAAGTAAGTCAGGTTTATGGCATATAAAGTTATTAAAAATCGCTGAATTCATATTAAAGCTACTCTGTACTTTTTAAAAGTGTAAAATGTAATTGTTCAAACATCACAGGCCTTGAAGAGGGGTTATTGACCGTCGAAACAAATGTAAAATAAAATTTAAGTTTTCTTCTAGTTTAAGCTTTCTAACCAAAAATATTGCATTGCTGGCATTTTTTTACGTTCTACCTTTTTGCATATTACTTGTGATAAGTCACTCCTCAGTTTGAAATTGCAAATCTTATTAATCACAAAAACGTTTAATTAGAAATTATGCAGCAAAAAACTTTTTGGCATTGCAATCCTAATAAGTTTTAGTTCATTAAATTTTTCTCTTGAATTACTCACTTAATAAAATTTCATAATTGAAACTGTAAAATTAAAAACCGTTTCTTATACTTTATATTTGTTTAGCTAATTTAGATTTTCAAATTTCATGTAAATAGAATTATTGTATTAAGAGCGTAATTAGTTAGTTATTAAACGATCAACCATACAGCTATTTTTGTTGAATCACACTCTTACAATGAGCAACAGTCCCTTTCAAACTACTTTTACCTACATTTGCTTCATAGCGGCATAGTGTAATCGATATCTCCTTGCTAATCGATATTATCTTTATCCATTACCTGAATTACAGCTCGAAAGCCAAGCAAGAAAAAAATTGGTAGTTATGTTAAATAAATAGTAAGTTAAATGCAATATACCTTCACCTAAATATACATACTTATATGTATATTGGTTATTACATTAACAAAGGTAGGCATGCTGTGGCAGTGGGTTGAATATGTGGCATTTTCGTTTTGATATTTTTGTGCCTGCTTGTGCTGCCTAACGTTGGGCTAGCGTTAAAGTTATTATGATATTGTAATAAAAATAAGATCATAAACAAAGTATCGGTTCAGTGAACAGGGGCTACATATTTTATGGCATACTTTGGCAAGTTTAGTTTAGTCAAAGAAAAAGCACTAGGTAGCATGTATATATTACCTTCAATTATCAACTTTAGTTCACCTTGCGCCCGAAACCTTCACAGCTGTTCCCATTTCATTTAAATGATAAATGACCATTAGCAATTACATATATGTATGTACATACGTATTTTTTAAAGTTTAAAATGTACTCAAGTAGCCTACAAAAAAGTTTTCCCACAAAAAATTATTATTTATGTACGATTGGGTGTGTTGTAGCGTGTTGTGATGTGCACCTTGAAAAATTATTTGAAATAATTTTCAAACGCCTTGTGGCAGCTGCATAGCAGGTGGTCTATTTTATTTTTGTTTAGACATTAGTTTCGCCTTGCTGAATTTGTAGTTATGAACATTAGTAAACATTTTTTATCCAACTTAAGTTAGATGTGCTTGTGTCACTAGCTGCGCGGAAGATATCGATCCAGTAATCGATTATTTTTAAGTTCTCCACAAAGACATTTAATTTTTGTTTAAAGTTAAAAAATCATAACTACTTTAAATTTATTTTTCACACAGATCGTTTGATTATAATATTCTTTACATGTGTATGTATGTATATATTTTCAAATCATTAATTTATTTATTAAATTCATTACAAAATTTCCATTCACCACACTAAATTCTCTTGTAAGCGTGTGCAGAATTATAGTTTCCATGAAAAAGTTCCATTAAAAAACAGGAAATCAAAAGAAGAACTCGAAACGTCAAAATTTCGAACCGCTCAACGAAAGCGTACCGCAACAGACGCGCAAGAATACAAACTGAACTCAACTAAATTTGGCAGTTACGCTATAACCACTAAAAATATTAAACTAAACATTGCGGCAGAGACAATGGCGAAAATAAAAACGAAATAAACTGCAAAGCAAAGAAAATAAAATAAAGCAATAGGAAAGCGCTGTATCTCGAAAACTAGTGTAATGAAAGGAGTAAAAAACAAAATTTACACAAAACATTGAAAAGGCTGAGCACAATAAGCGCAAAAAACAAGTGGTGGCCAATGAAGATGAATAGCAAAAACACAAAAAAAAAAACACAAACAGAAAGAAAGAAAAAACAATTAAAAAACCAACAAAAGAAGGAGTGTGCATGAATAAAAACGAATAAATTAAAATAAAAGTAATAAAAAAATATATATAGACAAGATAGAATGAAACTACGAAATATGTG